ATTTAAAAATTAACTAACTAAAAAAGTCATCTATCACATCAATATTATTAAATTAATTTTTAAATAAAAATAAAAAATTAATATTCAAAAATAAAGAATAAAATTTTTGTTATTTTATTTAAAAACAAAAAAAAAGAAAAAAATGATTTGCCTTTTTATAACCCCTTTTCTTGTCCATGACCATAAGGTCCATAACCCATATAACCTTTGGGTCGGACGTCCTTCCAGTGACTCAGGCTCAGCAACTCAATCGCAATTCATAAAGTCACTATTTTTTTTTTTCTCTTTCTCTGGACGTGTAAGCAGATAAGCGGTTTGCCAAGGTCAAAACATCATTATACTCCCATGTATCAATTGCTGATGTACCTCTGTTTTCTTTAACTTGTGTTCTCTCCCTTTCCTCTCTAGTCTAGACTACGATACTCTGTTCGATGGCAAGCCAAAATACAACGAACCCAGAATCCATCTATGATATCTCTGTCAAGGTTCGTCTTTTTCTTTGTATTTAATTGTTAATTCCTCTTCTATGAACTGCTTGTTAATCCATTTCAACTGGGTTTTTAGAGTCCTTCATTGTCATGTTTATACAAGTAATAAAGAAGAAAAATGGAAAACAAGGCTCAAAGTAAGTGAAAAATTAAAGCTTTTTTGGTTTGTTCTTTTAAAGTGATCAAAGATTGAAGTGGGTTTGAAAGAGAAATTTGGTTTCTTGTAAAAAAGTGAGATTTTTTTTTTTTTTGGGAGATTGGATGCGGTTACTAATCCATGATTATATTTATGAGAGAATCTGTGAAGAAATAATATGTATTATTATGTCTTGTATGATGAAGACAGTTTTCTTGAAGATAGACAAGTATACTAATAGTTCTCAAAACTAGAAGATACATCTATGTCATATTTTCAATTAGCCCAAAACAAGAAGATACATCTATGTATTTTTTTTTTTTTGTTCCATTCACAGGATGCTAACGGAAATGATGTGGACCTCAGCACTTACAAGGGAAAAGTGCTATTGATTGTAAATGTTGCTTCCAAGTGGTATTCCTTGCGTACTTTGCTCTTGTTCTTATTTAGAAGTAACATACTTATCCTCAACACTTGCAGTTGTTCTGCTTTTACCGGTTAGGACTTATGGTTGTGGTATTCTGTTTTGTTACTTGTGGCAGTGGAATGACAAACTCAAACTACACAGAACTCAATCAACTATATGATAAGTACAAAGATCAAGGTTTGCATTTTAAAGTTGTCCCATGCCTGCTACATTGACAGCTTTTGCAATCACAATGACAAAATAGAATTAGTGGACAAATGTTAGGAGGAGGAAGCTTTTCAGTTTTCAAATTCCTTCCATGTTTGCATTTTTTTATTCTACTTGCATCCCACGTATCCTTTAAAAGAAGCCACATCTCAATGATAATATTGAAGACCAGTGTAATGTTCTTTTGCGATGACTTAAGTGCAAATTTATTTGTTTTCATCCAGGCCTGGAGATCTTTGCATTTCCATGTAATCAATTTGGCGATGAGGAGCCTGGAAGCAATGATCAGATTCTTGACTTTGTTTGCACTCGCTTCAAATCAGAATTTCCTATCTTTGACAAGGTGAAACCTGAAAATACTTGAGAACTGCCATGGTCTTTAGTGACCAAACTCTTGAAAGCTTCCCATCTAGAACTTCTCAATTTCAGGCTGAGTATTTATGTTATTGTTGATCTCAATATATCAATCGACAGGCTTTGGGAACCAAAAGGATTAGGACACAGACACACGCATACATGCATTTTCATTTTTCATTTTTTTAGCAAAAGAACATCCAGTTGCATTTATGTTCTTTTTCTTTTTGTGCTCATTAAAACCCTGTTCTTGAACTATTTTGGATATAATGTGGCAAGTTATCGTGAAACATCTGCTCTTGTTGTTATTGTATTAGATTGAAGTAAATGGTCATAATGCTTCTCCACTGTACAAGTTCTTAAAGTCGGGCAAATGGGGAATTTTTGGAGATGATATTCAGTGGAACTTTGCCAAGTTTCTGGTCAATAAGGAAGGTCAAGTTGTTGACCGCTATTATCCCACCACTTCTCCTCTTAGTCTTGAGGTGAAACCTACTTTTGTCATTCTAAATCTCAAAGTTTCCCTTAGTATTTTATATAATCATAAAATTTCTTATTCTTTGTTGTTACTGCAGTTTGACATTAAGAAGCTTCTGGGTGTGGATTAGAAGAACTAGTGCTGGGGTATATGAAGGCATGATCCGGATCAGATTGAACCTCAGAATCAGTATTGAAAAATGTTTCTGAACAAAATCCTTGTAAAATAATCCTTTTTGTGTAATCAAATGTTGCTTTCCACTAAATGGTTTGATGCTAGAATTTGTGAACATAACCAGAGAATGCCTTACAGTAGAAGGCTGACACTCATTTCACAAGACAAAAGTCCCTCCTTTTTTTTTCTCTCTCTCTCTCTCATGAGGAAAAAGTCTTTGTTTTGATTCTTTGAACATTGGAATGAGCCATTTTGGCATAAAGATGGAAGTGGAGTCACTCTCACTCATTTCCTCTTTGCTGGGCCAGAACGAGAGAACTTGGGATGGGCTAGGTCTTCTAGTTTTAAAGATGAGAATGGACAATGGACTCTTATAAGTCTTATCAAAGAACTAATTGCTATACACGTGTTAGCTGATTAGAGCTTCTTCCCAAGTCAAACTGGTAGCATACTTGGAGATGCTTTGGGTGCATTAATTAGATGCTGTGGTACCTAACTCTCCACTCTTTCCGCTCTGTTTCCTTCAAAGCTCACTATCACAGTTGTTCTTTCTCACAAACCAGCTTATTCCATGGCAAGCCAAGATATAGTATCAATCTTTGATTTCACTGTCAAGGTTAGTCTCTTTCTTTGTAAAGAATTTGAGGGTGAATTGTTATGTGATGAAGCCAGTTTTTATGAAGATGTAGAAGTGTGAAGTAGGAAACCCTATGCTTGGACAGCATGCTGCTATCTCCTTTTTCTTTCCTTTCTTCAAAAGTAAAAACAAGGAAAGATTTGTGTATGTTTCATTTATCCAAAACTAGAAGTTATTTTATGGGTTTTTTTTTTTTTTTTTTCTGTTAATCACTTCCACTCACAGGATGCTAAGGGAAATGATGTTGACCTCAGCACTTACAAGGGAAAAGTGCTCTTGATTGTTAACGTTGCTTCCAAGTGGTATATATTTCTCATGTGCTTTACTCTTGTTTTTGTTTCCATCATCGTATGTGATTTCGAAATAATACTAGTTCTGATATATGTTAACCTTACCACAATGTTTTACAGTCGTCTTTCTATTACCATTAATTACTTGTGTTTGCTGTTTACTGTTTTCATTACTTGTGCAGTGGATTGACAAACTCAAATTACACAGAACTGAATCAACTGTATGAGAAGTACAAAGATCAAGGTTTGAGGTTTGAAACTTTCTATTGTTTAAAGAAGAAGTTGCATTTCATGGATGATATTGAAAATAATAGGACTCAACTTTGCATTGTTTTCATTCAGGCCTGGAGATTCTGGCATTTCCATGCAACCAATTTGCTCAGCAGGAGCCTGGAACTAATGATCAGATTCTTGACTTTGTTTGCACTAGCTTCAAATCAGAATTCCCCATCTTTGACAAGGTGAAATCTAGAACTCTGCTGTAACTTCAACCTTGAAACTTGAGAACTTCTTCCATTGTCCTCAGTAACTAAAAAGTTAATGGAAATTCATATTTAACAATCTGGTTTTGGTTATATTGTATTAGGTTGAAGTGAATGGTGATAATACTTCTCCATTGTACAAGTTCTTAAAGTCTGGTAACTGGGGACTTTATAAAGATGATATTCAGTGGAACTTCGCCAAGTTCCTGATCAATAAAGAAGGCCAAGTTGCTGGTCGCTACTATCCTGGCACTACTCCTCTTAGTCTTGAGGTGAAACATACTTCGCTCCTCCTTGCAAGTCCTCAAAGTCCCTTAGCCATTTTATATTTTTGATGATCATCATCAGGCTGGATGATAATGTTATTATCTTGCTTTGTGGTGTTAATGCAGTATGACATTAAAAAGCTACTTGGGGTCAGTTAGAATAAGAAAGAGGAGTTGGAAGAGTGCTGAGAAGTGAGAATAAACGGCTCAATCATGTTCACTGGAGTCAAGCATCAAATATTTGCATCCTTCTGCTGGTAAAAAAATGTGTTTGTGTTGGAGATTATTGTACAAGCTGTGTCAAACAAAATGTTTAATAGAAGCACTGAGATCTCCTCTTAGCCTCTTTCTCTCGTGTATTAGTTGCCAAGACAAATTCCACCTTTTTTTCCTTACCCCTGCCATTTTCAGTTTCTTGCCACGGTTGTGGCTACACCAAACCCCAAAATGAACCTGCATAATTTTACATCAAAATTGGTCATATACCACCACATCAACCTGGCTTTCACCCTGGCAACATTTTCTTTGATAGAATTTCATAGCTTTATGACTCACAAAGCTAATGATTTCAATGAAAATTTAGGAAATTGATTGCAAGACCATCTTAAATTAAAGTCAAAATAATGGCTGATATTCCGTGCTAGCAACGGATTAACATATCTCTAACATTAAATAATAGGGGAACTTCAATTCTGTTAACCTCATGGTCATGGTTACACACTACGTTAGAACGAGCCCTTCTGGTCGCATCAAGCAGACAGGAAGGATTTGAATTTCCATTTTCCATAGTTGCCAAGGTACATGTACAACAACAAATTTGTACAAAGATGCCATGTTTCGGTTGCACCAAACGATCATCCTTGTGTCAAGTCAATATCAGTGTGGGGATTTCTCAGATCAACTGACTGTGAACCAGGCCAAGCAATCATTCCTCCAGCTGGAGAGTAATTTTGGGTCGGAGGTGCACTACTTGGAGTAGCTGTTTTATTATTGGATTGCAGTGGAGAATCCTTGTTGTCTTTGGGGCTAGCTAGTTGCTTATTCTTGGATTTAGATCCTCCATAGACGAAACTGCATACCACCAGCTGCAGCAAGTAAAAGCATATCAT